GATTTAATTGCCATCAATCAAAATGTTTTAAATTTTATTATTAATCCGCATTTTTTATACTGCGGCTGAACTTTCTAGGAGGGATTTGGTTTGGCTCTTTTACATCTGGTTCTGTGTTTGACGTGGGTTAACTTTTTGTTAATATTTCTTTATGTTATAAAACTTTAAAAAGATCAGTTTATACAGTTTAATCTTGATGTTAACATTATCGTAGAATAATTTTTATGGCCTCGTGGTAGCTGTAATAAGTCGGCACAATAGTGATTCGAATACGTTGTAAGTCTATTTTTTTAACGTAGACATGATCTATACATGAGTTTCCCTCTGTCGTACTCTCTGTAACAAGCTGAGTAAATCCGTAAGCATTAAAACTATTTTTAATAGAGCTAAATCCTTCGAGAAGATTTTCATTAAAATCTCCCATAACAATGTAGTCATGTCCAGACTCTTGTAATCCAGCTGGTAGCCTTTCTAGTTGCGGTATAAATAATTCCAATCTGTACATAGTTGGTCTGTAAATGGTTATAACGGAAATGTTTTTTTCTGGAATATTCAGAGCTACATATTCAATATTGATCAGTCCTAATTTTATTATGTGACATGTGTTTTTCCTGTGGTAAACTGCCACACCACCATGTTCCTTTTCTTTGATATAATTAAACTGTTCATTATCATCATAGCTGGTATTCCGTGGTTGATTATGAAAGGTGAAATCATCTAATCTTATTTTGGAAGGCTTTCTTACATTATTCAACCAGGTTTCTGTCAAACAAATAATATCTGCTGTGAGAATTCTTTTGTCATTCTTTAAATCTTCAAAATGAGTTGTTAATCCTTGTACATTAAATAGTATAATAGTATGCTCAGTATGGAGTGGTTGTTCTTCTGGTTGTAGAAATTTTGGCATTTCGTTCATAGCTTTTTCTATTCTTTCATCGCAGTAAATAGTTTTTTCGTCAAAATCTTGGATTGTTAGTCCGTTTAATGTCTTGACTCGGCTCAAAGCAACATAAGCTTGTCCAGCTTGAAATATTTTATTTAAAGAAATAACAGCTCTGTCTAGACTCAGACCTTGTACTTTATGTATTGTTACGGCATATGCTAGTCGTAAAGGAAATTGTCTTCTAACATCACCTTTATAATTAATATGTGCACTTTCATATCTTTCAATGGGAATGCTTCCTTTAGGTATGTATGGTGGTAGGTATGTTTGATTTTTCAGGTTAACTTTAGCATGATCAAATTTAACATAGATTTTAATTGGTTGATTACGATCATCATGTTCAATGTATTTTACTTGACCAAAACTTCCATTTATTAATCCAATGGATACGTCTAAATTGACTACTAACATAACGCTTGAGCCAGTGCCGATTTGTAATAATTCGATTAACGTTGTGTCAGTGGCTTTTACACAATGTTCTTTTAGCTGCATTCTTCCACTTCTAGCATCTTTCGTATAGTCTAAAGCATAGATTGATATTGCATTAGGAAATTTTATTGTATTTATTCTGCAGTTATATGCGTTTACTTGATCATTTGTGGGGAAAATATGTAAGCAATCATCTTCTGTACCCGTAACTCTACTTTGCAAAATATCAATGTCAGATTGAAGCATCTTCTCTACTTTTTTTTCTTTTTCTTATTCAAAGTCTGGGCGAAATCAAGATCATCCCTCTGTCTCATTATTTGGGTTAATTCTACAATTTTGATTCAATTCCATATATCTATAACACTATCATGGCATAAACTTTTAGCTTTTACCGGTTTTAATTGCCACATATCTCCGAAGCAAATAATGCATATATTACCAAATAAATCATTACTGTCGATTCCTTTTATTTGACACAATCTTCCATGAATATAACAAAGTAATTTATGATCAACCATTGAAATTTCGTCTATTATTAGAATTTGTAAATGACGATATTTGTATCGGAGAGTGTTAATTGTTTCGTTTCCTAATGGTTGGTATGGTGGAAAACTGAATCCTTTTCGTATTGAGAATGAGCTATGTATTGTAGATGCTGAGATATTAAATGCACTTACTCCTGTTGGTGCTGTTACAAAAACTGTCACGTCATCTAAATCGCCAGCCATTTTTCCAAAATCCGCGAAGCTTCATATTTGATGCATTTGATTAAATGTGATTTTCCAGTACCAGCAGATCCAGTGATAAATAATCTTAATGGATCTGGATTTTTCCCATGTACTTTTTCTAATCAGTATTGACGTACTTTATAAAAAATTCGAGACTGTATACAATTTAAAGATCTTAATAATGGGATTGCTTCAGATTTAGAAATTCCTGTTATGTTTGATTCACGACGAATTCTTTCACTGTTTCCTTTATCAGATATCAAATCAGGTATTTGTGGTTCATTTTCACATTCGTCGTCCATTCCTTTATTTTCAACTCTATATATTTCGGTTTCAATTCTGTCTTGTTCTGTTTCTGGAGCAATTCTTGCGCATGCATCCTCAAAATCTCCACAGTGGTTTACAGTTTCTGCTAAGGAGTCAATATCTATATCTGTCTCAAATTGTTGTCTATTTTTTTCAACAATGTCGCGCACTTGTACAAGTTCATTGGATAACTTTACGGATCCTGATTTGTAAAATGCTTCATGTGTTTCAAATCCTGGAGGTTTCAATTGTGCTTCCATTCGATATGGCAGAAATAATTGTAGACTGCTGAGATAATAGTTTTCTGGATCTTTTGTCATTGAGAATCTGGCATATCTTATTATTGCTGGTGATGTCCTTGATCGTTTTATTATGTATCCCAGATCATTCTGTAGTTCATAAGCAGGGTTTTTTTCATTGTTTAATTTTGGATTTTCCAATGTCGACATTAGTCTGTATTCAGAGCAAAACATTCCAATGCACATATCATTAAATGGGTTTCCTTTAGGTCGTGCTAAATATCGTTCAACCCATCTGATCATGAACATTTTTCCGTCGGATAGTGTGCCATCTTTAGCTCGTTTTTGTAACTTTTTCAGTGGCAGTGTTATTTTTATATTATTCTTTCCTGTAGGTATGAATTGTACTTTTCTCGAAAATCTTTTAGTGGTAAGCCTAATACACGTAGCGCGCTCTCTGGTCCTGAAATTTCTCTAGAATGTAAATACGTTGTTGAAATTTTTCGCATACAAGATTTGGCTTCCAGATTGTTTTGCTTAGCTTCTTTATATGTTTCACGTAACAACATGCCCATTTCTCTTTCAGCTTTTGTGATATATGAAACAATATATACTACGCAGGCGTATGCATCAAGTACGTATTGGATATCCAGGTTAGCATTCCATGCTTTTAACATGTTTGGATTATATTGGTTTATCCATGATTCATTCACTTTTCTCTTATGTACAATATAAGTTTTTCTTGTGAGTTTTTCACAAGTTTGTTCAAAAAGATCCTGTGTAAGTCCTAATTTATCATAAAGGTTTATAAACCAATTCAAATCTTTAACCTGTACATTAGAACCTTGTTGTCGTAGTATAGTAGTTAAAAATGATTCAAACCTTAGTTCTGAACATGAAAAAGACAGGAAAAATGTTGGTATACCAAGTTGCCTAATCATAGCAAATACGTCTTTTTGCGTTGCTTGCCAAAATGCTGGACTTCCTCTGCAGTTTCTCATGAATGTAAATCCTATATCTGATCGTATTATATTCTGTAATGGTTCATCATGAGTTAACATATCTGCTGTGATTAGATTACCTCCCATTTTAGCTTGTCTTAAAGCAATTGATGTGCCTGATAAGATCTGATGAAGTTCATAAATATATTGAGCATAGAATAAATATTCTGCACAGGCTGCAAAACGGTTATCAATCGATTTTTTAAATATTTTCCTAGTGTAATGCGTATATCACGATTTTCGGAAAATGTGTTTTTGCCTTTTGGAAAGAGATAAGGAAAGGTACATGCTTCGTTTGTTTTATCCATTAAAATTCTTACTGGTCGATTATTTTCAGCTGGAGATATTGAAAATATTTTATCAGCATTATTTACAATGTTTGCAGATACATCAACAGGTTGTAAAGCAAGAGCTTCCATTTGTTTCACATGTATATCTTCCAATGTTTTCATCCACTAAGTCCAAATCTGAGTCTGTAGCATTTGAAGTTGTATCATCAGTGTCATCATTCATCAAGTTATCAAGCACAGATAAATTATGATCCTGTTCTTCTATCCATTCTTTATTCAAAATAACATCAAAATAATTACTATTATTGTGTTTTAAGTAACACAACCCATTTTTAATATGATTTTTTGTAATTATTTGGAATTTGTAATGTCCTTCTTTAATTTCACTCTAATTATTTCATCATTATTTTTGCATCTTGGTAAAACATTTGTCATTTGAGTTAGGTTCGAGGGAACACAGACAGTTTCTCCAATAAGTTTTTGATCATTCTGTGGAGAAACTTGAACCATTTTTAGAAATACTATGTTTTTAGCTATTAAATGTTTCTCTAATTGATTCAAGCAATTCAGCTCATCAGGTATTACTCCGGGGTCCATGTTGTTAACCATAGACTCTGCTGGTATTTTACCTTCTATAGCATGTAAAACATATCCATAGCGATTTATAATTATCAGAATAAGTGCATCTGTCTTGGCATTGGTTATTGCACTCATGAAGGTACGTCTTGGTTATACACTTTTTAGCTATCATTTGAATTCTCTTGGATTTGTGTTCATATAATTCCTCGTTACATTCTTTGACTTGATTCTTAAATAATAATCGGTTGCAAAAGCACTATGCCTGAAGATGGATTTAATTCCGAAATCGCGATCGCACCCGAGGAGTCCCCCTATATTTTTTTGTTATCTCATTTTATGTAAGTTTATTTTGTTTTTTATTTTTACTTCGATTTATGAAATAAATATTTCTATATTTTTGACGTAAAAAAACTGTATACTTTATTTTTATAACTCAGATAGTCTCTCTTTCACTCTTTTTTGAGAATCTCATTTCGTGGTCCGCAATGGACAATTGGTTTTTTCCACGCTTTGACTATTATGGAGCTAGACCTAACTATCATAACAGACCACCCTTCCACCGTCATCATCAGCCCCATAATCACAACAATCGCCAGAGCAATAAATATAGACCCAACAGACACATTTTCAACCACCGACAAGACTTCAACCACCGACAAGACTTCAACCACCGACAAGATTTCAACCACCGACAAGATTTCAACCACCGACAAGATTTCAACCAAAGACATGAGTCCAATCCTGTGGTGAAACTCTTCTTCCAACTCATCCAATGTCTGCATCATGCCTCTGTAACTTCTAAACAAGCAAATGGTCAACCAACTCGTGGATTTCTTTTTAAAATTAACGATCTTAACCGCTTCATTAAGCCAGCTCTCAGGAATTCAAAAATTGCCGCCTCTATTGACTCCATCAATAGAGGTTGGGCCAAAGACGTGGCATTGGCTCTAAAGAATCATTATGATTCAATGCTTGCTGACAAAATTACTATGATAAAGTCACGCAACCTCTCTGAACAAAATTTTAATCAATACTCTAAAGAAGCGATCAATTGGACAAAAAAGTCTTATAAGCGACTCCAAAATCAAACTCTTGAAAAATACTCGCAAATATTGGTGGTTTTAAAAAATTCTAAGATATGATAGATATGATAGTTGACCCTCCAGCTTCCAACCAACCAATAGCATCCTCCCGAAAGCGACAGAGATCACCTACTTCCTTACCTAGTACTTATCTACTCGTCGTCATGATTGTAACAAGAACAAATCAACATGGACACTCCCTGAAGTAACCAAACCAACCATTATCATAGGATCTTCAAATATTTCCCGAATTCCAGAGGTCAACCAGGACACCCAAGAAGCTGAATCTTATCCCGGAGCCAAAATTAACCACATCATCGATATCCTTACAAAGATTAATCCAACATCAATACCATCCAAAGTCATATTGGCCTCAACAACAAGAATGAACCAGGTGAATCCATCCACAGACAGATGCTGGAATTGTTATTCCTCGCCAAAACCAAATTCCCATCAGCCAACGTATTCGCCACCCAGATACCAGTTTCTTCCATCCTCCAACGCCAGAGACCAAATTTAGCCGCCAACTTACGAAAATTCAACGACCTTCTTTTTCATAAGCCATCTCCGTTTGCAAAGACTATGCCGCGATTCAATGGAATGATCGAGGTAAACCATTTAGATCTCGTCCACTGGACGGCCCCCACTGCCAAATCTGTATATTTAAATTGGGTCTCCCATTTAAACTAAACGCGGGGGGAAATATTCCAAAATTAGGACAAACTGTTGTCAATTTAAGTTCACGAATACTTTCTCCCCTTGAAGAAAGACTTCTGGACAAAGGGTTAACCTTCATACCCACCCATAAACCATTTTCGATTGAACCAATTTTGACGTCGGTAACTAAAGTTCAGAGAACATTTAAATTGAATTATTACTTTCGCGAAAAAGTTGGCCGCGGTAAACGAATCAAATTTACGGATAGATCTGGCTGGAATCCACCAGATAATGCGATTGACCAAGATATTTTAACTATTTGCGACAATTTATATGAAGAAATTTCTCATTTGCCTTTGGTGAATGAGAAAAACAATCTTACCAATTTTGAACGAAAATCTCTCAATAATCTAAAAAATGACAAAAACATTATCATCAGGAAAAGTGACAAGTGCAGTTGCTGCGTCATTCAAAATCGCGATGACTACATTTTTGAAATTGATAAACAGTTGAACAATCCAAATCACTATCGCCAACTTCATACACCTATTCTTATGGAAACTGCGCGAGAAATAAACAATATTCTACAAAATTTGGTAAAAAAAAAATTTATTTCAGAAAAGCAATATGACTACCTTTCCGCGTCCACTGAGCCTCGCCAACGACACATTTACACGCTTCCGAAAATTCATAAAAATCCCGAAACTGAGTGGTCCGTTGCCAACAAAATTCCTAAAGGTAGACCAATCATTTCTGATTGTTCTAGCGAATCATACCGAGTTTCAGAATACATAGATTACTTTTTACTGCCACTAGCACGCCAACACCCTTCTTATCTGAAAGACACAACCGATTTTGTGAAAAAATCAAGATGACACGCTTTTAGACATTTTGAGAAAAGAAGACCCCCCTCCACCTTTTATTGGATTCGGTTCATTTCCCTGTGGAGGTCCTACTTGTCGCACATGCGAACACATACATGTTACCCATTTTTTCAAAAATAACAAGAACGGAAAATTGTTTGCGATGAATAACCTAATTTCTTGCGGAGATCAAAATATCATATACCTAATTTCTTGTAAAAAATTCGATGTACAATATGTTGGCGAGACTCAAAATGCGCTTCGAACGCGATTCAATGGCCATCGCTATGATATAGTGCATGGCAAGGATAGACCAATTGCGAATCACTTCAACCTTCCCGATCATTCCATTGATGACCTTCTCATCATGCCTATAGAAACAGTTTCTACATCACCTAGCATGAAACCTAAGCTTAGACGTCTACAACGCGAAAGTTATTGGATCGATCAACTGCAGACTGTGAGGCCAAATGGACTCAACATTCAACAGATAATACCCTTTATAACGACATTTGATTCTACAGCTACCAAAGCCTCCATAATAGTCAAACGCCATTACTCGGAACTTCAGAACAAATTTCCCCATGTATACACAAAACGTTTGGTTGTAGCTTACAAAAGAAATCAAAATCTTAGCAATTTCCTCTTTCACGGTAGACTTGAACCATTGAACAATGTCCATTCATCCTAGGAGCATAGATTTGTTAATATAAATGTATCATGTTCTATCAATAAATAAATCTATTTCTGAGTTAGATTTCAGGGAATACTTATTTCAGGAATGGCGCCATGGCTTTATACAGTATATTATATAACATGCAGTGTATTTTTGTGTTTGTGTCTTTTCAACTAAAATCATACTAATGACTAACTAATTTTCACATAATCAATAGACTTATCTATTGCTCTGTGACCTAGGCCAGTGCTTTCATTGAGACTCGTCTCAATACACCCTAACGCAACATACATATATTGGTACTTCGGAACTGTCTTTCTTAAATTTTTCTAAAGCATTGGTAATGTTATTTGTAGTTCTCCTTTTTTCTTCTCTTCGGATTTTGTTCGATTCCTTTAACATAGTTCTGTACGTAATGTCTACTTTATACTTATGAATACCCCTTTGTTTCGCTCTTGTTTCGATCAGTCCTAATTTTATTATGTGACATGTGTTTTTCCTGTGGTAAACTGCCACACCACCATGTTCCTTTTCTTTGATATAATTAAACTGTTCATTATCATCATAGCTGGTATTCCGTGGTTGATTATGAAAGGTGAAATCATCTAATCTTATTTTGGAAGGCTTTCTTACATTATTCAACCAGGTTTCTGTCAAACAAATAATATCTGCTGTGAGAATTCTTTTGTCATTCTTTAAATCTTCAAAATGAGTTGT